CTGCCGCGCAGCCCCGGACCCTGCCCCGATCGCCGGGCCCGCGCCATGGCGGGCATCGCGGCCAAGCTGGCCAGGGACCGCGAGGCGGCCGAGGGGCTGGGCTCGCACGAGAGGGCCGTCAAGTACCTGAACCAGGACTACGCGGAGCTGCGGGACCAGTGCCTGGAGGCCGGGGCGCTCTTCCAGGACCCGTCCTTCCCCGCCCTCCCGTCCTCCCTGGGCTTCAAGGACTTGGGACCCTACTCCAGCAAGACGCAGGGCATCGCGTGGAAGCGGCCTACGGTAGGCAGCGCGGGCAGGGCGCGGGGCCGGGCGGGGGTCGCGGACAGCGGGACCCCCGGGGGGCGCCTGTCCCCTCCTCCACTCGCGGCGCGTCGCCGGACACTGCCCTCAAGTCCATGAGCAGGCCCGCCAGGGGAGCCCCCTAACGGACTTCACAGTAACTGGGGGGACATAAGGGGACCTGGGGACAGCTTTTACTGGACTCCATCGTGGAGGTGGTGGGAAGTAGGGAGGGGGTCCTCGGAAAGGAGGGTGGGCGGCAACATCTGGCCAGTATAAGCCAAGTCTCCAATGCCGGTTCTCTCAGCTTCAGGGAAGGGAAAGTCCACAGCCTGGTCGTTTGTGACTAAGGATTGTCTCATGCAGTCGTGGTTAAATTTAGCCAATAAGAGTGTTATTTATTGTAACATATGGGAGCTGAGAAGACCTTCCCATACCATTCACGCTGGCGACAGGACAGGGGAGATGCAGTGAAGAACCTGGTCCTTGTCAACCCACTGTCCCAGAATCCTCCTGGGGACCTCAGGAACCCCTCCAAGTTCACTGTCCTCCTCATCCTGGCAGGCCTTGGGACAGCTTGATCTCTCATCTAGTTGTCCATGGGGTCCCATGGAACCGCTGTGGCTCCACCTCCTGTGGGACACTTCACTGACACACACTCCCCACCCCAAATCTAAAACTGCGCTCCTGGAAAATCCATCCTCTACATTCCTGCCAGGGCAATAAGCATTCCCGTCCTGCTTCTGCTCCTGCAGCGTCCCAGGCCACCCTCTCTGCTACCCCAAAGCCAGCCATGGGCAGCAAATGCCCATGGGCAGGAAGTGCCACAGGCCAGAGCTTGAGCACCAGAGTTCATGTCTGGCTAACCTGCCGGGTGACCCTGCCCGAGCCATCCAACGTCTACGCCTCTGTTTCTTCACCTAAAGAGGTGACAAGGTGATGCCTGAATGTTCCCCTCTTCGCTGGCTCACGAGGCCCAGCCACCTCTCAGCTTCTCGAAGGCACCGGCTCTTCCCCGCCTTCTCACCTGCCAGGGATACTCTTTCTTGTTTTTCTTGAATCTGGCTCATTTTCACTCTTTGGGATCTAGTCAGATGTCCCCTCCACGAAGTCATCCGTCCTGACCGCTCTTAGCAGCCCCCTCCCATCTTATTATTCTATATCACTGAACTCTGCTAATTTCCTTCATAGCATTTTTATAACTTATAAATATAATTACATATATTTGTTTGTCCTGAACTTCAGGGACCATATGTGCGTTATTTGCCAATATAACCTCAGTGCCTAGCACACTGTTAGCACCTTTTAAGTATGCATTCATTCATTCATTCATTCATTCAACAATATTTTTCGGGTGCCTATTATATGCCAGGCACCGTCTTAAATGCTTGGGATACCTCTGTGAACAAAAAGGCAGTAACAGTTTGTGGAATGAATGAATGAATGAATGAATGAATGCAAGACTGTAATGAGCCTCAAGGGAAGTTATGGATGTGAAAGTGATAAACAAGAAAATGAATTCACCTTACATTTGTATAAGAACTTTACAGTTTACGAAGTGAACCTACACACTCATTTACTTGTCCTTTCATTCATTCAGTAAGCATTTATTGAACACTTACTGTATGCCGGACACAGTGCATAATAGTTTCTGCCTCTAAACTGTTAATACCTATAGCTGTATATAAACTATGTGCATAGCCTCCTACGAGGCATGTAGTTTTACTAGTCGGGGCTGGAGAAGGGGGACAGACAGATCACCCCACAGCTGGAAACGCCTGTGGGACTCATAGGTCGGGAAAGAGATAGAGAGCCACGTCGGTGTGGGGGAGGCTGTGCGCCACACAACCGAGGGGCGTGGCGTTTATGTTCCCATTCAGCAGATGAAGAAACTGAGACTTGGAAAGCTTAAATATTTGCTCAAACAGGTGTCGGGGGCAGAGCCAGGAGTGCACTCAGCCTGTGGGTAGTTAGAGCCCACAGCCCACCCTGTGCCCTCTGCCTCTGTCCTGTCTTCTCAAACACTGCTGTGGTCGGAGCAGGCCAGGGAAAGGAAGATGCGTCCGCTGGACCAGGACATTAGCAATGTGACTTAAACAGAGCGATTGCAGTGGGATAGAATTTCAATGGGGTAGAAGGCAGATTGCTATAGACTCCAGAGTAAGGAACCAGAAGCGAAGGCTGCGGTCAGCTCGTTACAGAAGGCTGCCCGCGGAACGACAGGGAGCCAACGTGGGAGGTGGAGTGGGACCTGGTTGTTTCAGAAGAGAATGTGTTGTATGTTGAGTCAGGGGAGGGGAAAGGAATAAAGACAGAGGCAGGGAGGAGACGGTGAAACGGGGTCCCTGAGGGAGTGGGCAGGGGAGCGGGCCAGCCTTGGATCTGGAGGGACCGCTCCGACACTGGTAACAGAGGGCTCCAGGGGTGGAATGGGGCTGAAGGGGAAATGGCTCAAGTCACTGGTGCAGGGGCACAGTGAGCCGAAAGCCAGCACGATCCAAAGACGCCCCCAGTCAAGTCTGAGCAAGGACAAGTGCTCTTAGTCCCCATTTTGTCCTGAGAAGTTTAGGACTTGCTTATATTTGCTGGCTGAACTCAGCCTCAGACCTGCATCTCCTGCCTCCAAGCTCAGTGATCATCATCATCGACTTCTTCTTCAATGATAATAATAATTAAATAATAATAAGTAACTTTTATAGAGTGTTTACCAAGGCACATCTGCAGAATTATCTTGTTGAACCCTCATAACTACGCTGTGCAGTAGGTACACTTGTCATCACCATCCCCACTTTACAGATGAGGAAACTCGCAGGGTCACAGAACCCATGTAATAAGCGGCTGAGCCAAGACTCAAACCCAGGTCGTCCGGATCCTAAGCCCGGCCGCTCCGCCCCTTTCCTTGGACCGCTACAGCCGTGTTTAATTCCACACCCTGCTGCTGTGAGCACGCTTCGGCTTTCTGAAACATCTCTGCTCTGAACTTTGCCTTCTTTGGAGAGGCTGCTAAAGATGTCGGAAAGTTTCTGAAACATAATGGAAAAACCCTCCTGGGATAAGTGCTTGGCACACTGAAGGTTGTCAATATGGTTCCTGGGCTCCCGGCACCAAGCCTAGTCCCTTCCATCAGCTGCATGAGTGCTTGGCTGGCAGGCCTCAGGCCAAGCTGGCTTCGTGGTCTCTTTGTCCTTGTCATCCCCCAAAGAGACTGGCCTGAGCAGGGAAGGGACAATGCAGAGGCACGAGAGGAATGTGCTCTGCTGCAGGCTGTGGTTCCAGAGCTTCTCTGATCTGAACCAGGCGACAGGGCCAGAGCCACATCTCACCCAGGAAGCACTTCTGCTTGACAGAGAGGGCCACACCGAGGGTGTGGGTGGAGCCCCTGCAAGGTTGCCCAGGCCCAGAGAAGCCCAGACTGATGCCTCGACTTCTTCTGTGGCTTTGGGTGGGGCTCCGCAGAGTCAGAAGCGCACCCCAGGAGGGCTGCTTCACGGAGGCGCCAGAGTCGTTCAAGGTCGACGCCCATCAGGCCACTTGTGGGAAGATCCTGAGGTTTTTAACGCAGTAGAACCTTGTTAACAATCCATCAGAGGCGGCAAATGAGCAGAAACAGCATGCGCTTTACACCAGGAAGTTCACGTCCCGGCGCTTTCTCTACCTTACGGCCGGTGTCACCTTGGAGACCAGTGTCACCTTGGACACGTTGCTTTGTCTACTGAGCCTGTGTCCTCACCTGTAACCTGGGGACCATACCCTTCTTGTATACTGAGAGGGCCCCGGGAGAGAAAGCACCACCACAGCACTGACATACGTCAGGTCACAATCTACGGAGGCTCCAAGTATCACGGCCTGTGGATGACCCCAGAAGGCTGGGTGTGTTCCCCAGCCCTCACGAAGTGTATGCGTGTCAGGGGGACCGAGCGATGCCCATCTGCACCACTAGAGCGTGCACAGGGAAATGCTAAGTTGCAGCGTACAAATACTCCGGGACTCAGGATCAAAGGGATGAGTGAGGCCTGGGCTGTGCAGGAGGGCTTCATGGAGGAGGGGGCGATGAGTCTTGAAGTATGGTAAGATGTGGAAAAGGAGAGAACAGGGTGGGAAAGGGAAGAATTCCATGCAGGCTAAACAGCCAACGTGCAGAAACAGAGAAGAGGGCCAGCGTGGCGGGCAGGGCAGCCTCAGCGTGTAGACAAGCTCGATGCCAGGCAGCCTGAGGAGGCTGGACTCCATACCGCTGTTGCCCGAAGGAGAGGCGTGATGATGCAGGCTCTAGGCAGTCTGGAGCGTTGGGCGAAGACTCTCCTTCTCACCCAGGAGTGTCCCCCGCATCCGTCGGGACCCCGAGAAGAACCCCATGGCCGTCTAACTGCAAAGCTTTCCCTAGAGGAGAGGGGAAGGGAGAAGGGTCCTGTGCACACACTGGGAACTGGGGCATCCTAACTGCAAAAGTGCACGCCTGGGGGCTTGACGGCGCTTTGTGGGTCTCGTCCGCAGGAGATCTGCGATGATCCCCAGTTTATTGTTGGAGGAGCCACCCGCACGGACATCTGCCAAGGAGCCCTGGGTAAGTGACGGTGTCCGGAGCAGGCCGCAGAGGCTTGTCTGCAAGGCTGTGGGCGAAGGGGGTGAGGGGCAATCCGTGGCTTCTCTCCCTTCCCAAGCAGCTTGGCGATTTCCATTTCCAGAAGCTTCCTGGAATTTCTTGTCCCATGAGACCGCTACGCTGAGGCACACAATTGCACAAATGTGCACCGAAGCCTCCAGTGTCCCATGCACTGGGCTAGTTGTTGAGGTTACAAAGATGCTCCCTCTGGAGGATGGAGGGGTTTCTGCCCACCCCCCATGGTCTCTGCACCTCTGGGCCCATGAAACAGTCCAGCTTTGGGCTGAGGGCCAGGCGGGAGGGCACCCAGGCCAATGACAGCACTGAGACATCTGTTTCTCTGGGGTTCAGGAAAGGGGCTGGTGACTCAGTGTGAAGGAAAAGGAAACCCTCATGAATGCTCTCCGTGGAGAGGAAGTTGTAGTACCGGGGTGTTCTCAGTATTTGCAAGACAGATCACCATGGCATCACAACAGAGGATGCAGGGCTTATTGTCACAAAGGCAGCTGCAGTGTTCATTTAGGTAAGAGTCACTGGAGTGGCTGGGTTGAGAGGCTCTGACACTTTGCTCAGTGACACCGAACTCTGGTTTCTTGCCGGACATAGCGCCTGCTGAGATTGGAGCTTGCGGAGCCTCCAGCTTCGGTACCGTTATTTAAAATTCTCATATAATCCACTTTCGATAGTTTTACTCATGATAAATACAGCCTACGATCACTGGAGCAGACTATTTGCTCAAATAAAACACCTTGTTTCCTGTCATTAGCTTCAACTCGCTCCCCAAACTGGTCCATCAGGAGCAAAATGGATGACCTTGCATCATACGTCCTGTCCTGGGCAGCCCAGCAGGGATTCTGATACTCAGAATAACAACAGCTAATATCCAATGAGTGTCTAGAATGTGCCCGACGCTAAGCTATGACAGCAAAATCTCCAAGGTACCATGATTACAGGTGACTCTCGAACAAGCTGGGTGTGAACAGCATAGATCGACTTATATGCGGATTTTTTTTTTTCAATACATGGGCACAGTACTGTAAATTCATTTTCTCTCCCTTACGATTTTCTTAGTAACATTTTCTTTTCTTTAGCTTACTTTATTATGAGGATACTATATATATAATGCACATAACATACAAAATATGTGTTAACCAGCTGTTTATATTATCAGTAAGGCTTCCTGGCAACAGTGGGCTATTAGTAGCCACGCTTTTAGGTGTGTAGGGGTCAGTGCCCCTAAACGCCATGCGTTGTTCAAGGGTCAACTATATTACCATTTTATAGGCGAGGACACGGAGGCCCTCGGAGTGACCTAAGGGGCTCCCGCAGCTGAAGAAGGGACCTGGGACACAAATGCCAGTCGGATTCCAGGCTGTGAGTTTAACCCCCTGAGCTAGAATTTTCGACTCCCGAGGGATGTAAACCTTGCAAGCCCCACGGGAAATGACTCTCAGGGGAACTCTGACATACGCTGGGGGCTTTAGAGAATCTGCAGACAAACCAGCAAGTGTCACACCCAGGCTAGATTCCACACCTGGACTAAACGTCTACTTCAGAGTTGAAAGACATCTTTAGGGCCAAACTGCAAGAAACAAACAGAGGATTTAAGTTTTGTTTAAACACTACCAGGCCATTTGGAGAGGAGGCAGGCAGAGCTTACATTCCTGGGGTGAAACTCCTCGCGATAGGCACCAAATCAAAGAGAAACCAGATTAAGCGTAGGTCTTTTTAAAGCTTCTCAGTAACTGGTCTGCCATTTCTGAGTTGTTGTTTTTTGTTTTGTTTTGTTTTACACCATATTAGCCTTTTATTGTAGAAGATCTGGTTGGATTACAATCTGTGAAATGTGGTCAACTGAACTCTCACCCTGATTCTGGCTTCTGGGCACAGGGTTGTTAGTGATGGGGTGGTGACTGTCGCCAGGTCAACGACACCCGATCACACAGCCAGAGATTCGAGGAGAGGCTCTGCTCTTAGCTGCGGGGCCGCGGGCAAGTCATCACTGAGACCCTCAGTCTCTTCTAAAAATGAGAGGGAAGGAGGGTCGACAGGTGACCTCAGAGAGCCCCTAAAATGCGGCATCGAGCTCTTCTGAAGCCGCAACTCGTGCCTGACTCTGAGCGCCGGCCTCGTGCTGGAGGGTCAGAGCATCATGAGAGCATCTTACCCTCACGTGCGGAATAGCAGCACCGGCCACCTGTACGGCAGTGCACAACTCATAGCATTTTTCATCGCATTAGCTCATGTAACCATCCCAACGCTCAAGTAAATTCTCAAAGCAAAACTAACTTTCTTACCTACTTTTCCTGCCCTGAGACTCACTGAGTTCACCACCGAGCCTGGGCCATGCTGTCCTTGGACTTGTGCATTCCCAAACCCGTGGGGGCCTTTACGGCAAGGCCCGGTGGCAGTTCATGCACCAACTCCCACCCTCTCTCTCAGGCGGCTAGAAGCCTCACCAAATAATTCAAACCACGTTTGCAGAGTCAGCGAAGAAAACTCCGCCCATCGGAGGAAGGGCTGGAGACCCAGGCTGGCCCAGCCACTAAACATGGCTCTGTAATTGCTAGTGACAACCTGTTCTTACAGGTGGTGGCCCCTGGGGGCCCAGGAAATGCAAAAGCTGAGCTCCTCCTACCTTTGGTTTTCACTGGCCCCCACTGAGCTTTCTCCCCCGCCCCGCTCCCGCTCCCGAGAGGCACCCACAGCTTTGGCCTGATGGCCTGCGGGCCCCTGGCTGCCTGGGGAGGCTCCAGCAGCCACCGACACCAGCAAAGCTGCTGAAACAGCAGAGCTCATTTCGCTGTAAACTCAGAGGTGGCAAACGTGGTCCGGTATTTGGGTCACACACAGATTGTAACCCTCGGAGGAAAGAGAAATATGTGGGAAGCGTGAAGGGAGCAGATGCACGCTCTTCAATTTAAAAAGTTGAATTTTTAAATGTTTAAAGTAATTTTATAAATGATTTTTAAATTATAGTTTTTAAAAACCATCTTATAATAGGTATCTTTTAAAAATTTTAGTAAACTTTTCTTTGTAGAACAGATTTACAGAAAAATTGAGACAGTGCAGAGAATTCCATACACCCCACACTCAGTTTCCGCTATCTGTAGCTTCTTACGTGGTACGTGTTACCATTGATAAGCGATATTGATACACTGACATTAATTAAAGTGCGTACTTTATTTAGGTTTCCTTCAGTTTTACCTAATGGCCTTTTTTAATTCCAAGATCTCATCCAAATACCACATGGCGTTTACTCATCCTGTCTCCTCGGGCGCCTCTCAGCTGGCAGTGGCTCAGGGTCTCCTTGTTTTCGATGACCTGGACCGTTTCAAACAGTACCGCTCAGGGATTTTGGAGGATGTCTCTCTGTTGGAGTTTGCAGGTGCCATTTTTAAAAATAGTAGTTAAAAGAAAACGACTAGAAAGTAAGAGCTGGCCCGTTTGACGGAGAAAGTAAATTCTTGTCTCTTAGAGGCAATGGCCTGGCCACCAGCCCCGGCCCCGGCCCCAGCCCCAGCCCAGCGGCGGCCCCTCCCCGCCTCCTGCAGCCAAGCTCGTCCATGAGTCATCACTTCCTCTCAGTGTCTTTTCTGGTTATAAATGCTCCTTTGCAGCTTTCTCCCCCCCACCCGTGGCTGCTGCCTGCTCCCAGCTCCTTTCCTGCTGCATCTAAGACATTCTCATAAATAGGACAGGGGTGAATCGCTAACCCTGATGTTCTACCCAGAGGTCCCTGCCCTGCCTGGGCCCTCACACAGCTGGGGGCCCAGCCTCATCAGGCCTCAAGGGCAAGCGTCTCCTTGGCTGTCCCTGACCACCCCTCCCCTTCGCTCTGAAGCCACAGGGTGCCCATTGGGTGTGTGTGTTGCGGGGGGGGAGGTGGGGGAAGGGGGGGTGTAACAGGGTCCTGCCTGCCCCCCATGGGCCTATGGACCACAGTGGGACTTTTTGCTTGTCCGGGTGCTTCCTGAGCCAGGAACCAGGCCACACCCGATGGCCTCAGTCCCCTGTGTCTGAGCTGAGACTTTCCCAAGGCCCCATTACTTCTGACAGTCTGGGACTTCAAAGTGTGCCGCCTTCCGCCGGCAGCCCCCTCCCCCCGCGTCCGCCCACCCTGGGCTTCAGCACCTGTTGGTGAGCTCCAGGCGCCGAGGAACCTTGCTCAGATCATTCCCCAATTTCGCTATGTCAGGCCGATGTGTTTTTTGTACGTTTTTTTTCCCTGCATTTTCCCAGCCACAGTGACACTTTTCCAGGGGATCAGGGAAGGAAGGGTGTGGATTTGACTGCCTGGCAGGAAGGCACCGTGTCTCCTGGAGTCTCAGCAGATAAAAACTCGGATGCCCCGGAGTGACCCTGGGCCATGGCTGCAGGGAACAGGGGCACGACCGTGAAAACTGCAGCAAGTGTGTCTGCCTTCTGTCCAGGGCACAGCCGAGGACAGGGCAGGGGCCCAGCCTCCTGGCAGGACGCCCTAGCCCCGGAGTGACCCTGGGCCATGGCTGCAGGGAACGGGCACGACCGTGAAAACTGCAGCAAGTGTGTCTTCCTTCTGTCCAGGGCACAGCCGAGGACGGGGCAGGGGCCCAGCCTCCTGGCAGGACGCCCTTCTGAGAGTCCAATAGTGGTCAAGCGAGTGAGACTGTGGACCTCAGTCCTCGGCATCCTCACCCCCTCCTTCCCCTCCCCCCCTAGGGCCCTCCTCCAGCAGGAGCAGCAGAGGGACAGCGGAGAAGGGAAGGGGGACCCATGGACTGGATCACTGGCTCTTGCTCAAAGCTGAGTCTGCAGCTCGCGGAAGGAGCCTGGACTCCTAACAAGGGTGGGACCTGGGGGAGCGCTTCCCCTCCCTCCGCGGCCACCCATATAAAGGACACCCGATCGCGTGGGTGGGGAGTTCTGGTTTGGGGGCGCCCTTTCCTGGGCTGCTGCCAGGCCGTGAAACAGTCATGGAG